AGCAAAGCTTAAGAGTTTTATGCTTTCACTATATAGTTATGGGACATTAGTTGGACAGATTCATCATCACGTTTTTACAAATTCTCCTACAAATAAATAATCCTAGGATATGCCCAAATTACTCTGGCCTCTTGACCCAACATGGTTTTGCAATTACTTGGCACTCCAACTGTATGCTACTTAAATTAGGTAACAGTCACCAAGTTATTTTTAGGCCATAGCCACACACACACACACCCTGCTATACCTAGTTTGTTATTTGTACTCCTTTGGAAGAGGAGCCAAAAATTCCTTTTTACTGGCATTATCATTTCTGTCCAATCAATAGTAATAATAACATTGAGCTACATTTATAGAGTGCTTGCCTTGTATGAGAAACTGTTCTGAATATTTTACACACAAATTATTTAATTTCTAAACTAACACTATGAGATAGCTGTTGTTATATCCTCTTTTTGTAAATGAGGAAACCAACTAACTATGGGTTTAGGCAACTTGCCCAAGGGCACATGACTAGTAAGGCAAAAACCAAGATTAAAATTCAAGCAGACTAGATCCAAAGTCCTGCCTTAGTTTCTCCACCTTTTGCCATAGGGCTAGCATTTGGTATTTAGCCTTGGCTGTTAACCAGAGGTTCAGAATCACAATAGAAAGTCTGTAAACGTAGATATGACTTTATTTCACATATCTTAAAAAATCCCCATAACATCCCTGAGAGACCGGGGGGGGGGGGGGGGGGGGGTGACTCTTGTTCCCTCCTCTCCCTCCAACCCTGAAACAAAGCAGGAACAGAAAGAATATATATTTTCACATGGTCCCTGAGTTCTGAGAATAGCCATTCACTTTGTCAAACTCTACATTGCATATATTTAACTCTACAATATATACATTGTATATAAATTCTACAAGTGAATATATTTCAGAATTCTTTTTGACTAGGGAAAAAAGTGCAATCTGTGTTGCTCATTTCTCAGGAGTTAAAAGGGAAAGTTTTATAATACAAAAATCTAACTCCCTGTGTGATCGAAGCCTCCCTACATGTCAGCCGCCTAAACTACTGCCCTTTCCTTCCCTTGTTCCCCAATAAATGCCTCTGGTACAGAGCAGGCCTGACAAGATCATGGCAGTCAGTCTTTGTTTGTAACAGCGTGGAGCAAGTGCAGGCACAGGCTCCGACAGACAGTGGGGAAAGGGAGACTCAGACCCCAAGGAGGTGCCTGGGGCCCTCCTGCTCTGAGGAAGAGAAGCTTTTCCTTAGATCTGACAGCCAGTCAGCCACAGTGAAATTCTAAGTTTGAAAAACACTCAAAAATGGGTACACGACACTGAAGTATTTAGGAGTGAAAATGTTCATACTGTACTGTAAAATATCCCAGCTTTATTAAATTGAAAACATTCCATTTAAACATTAAACATACCTAAATGCATTAAAATGTTGTCTATACTATACTTTAGAACATTTCAACAAAAAAGGAAGAGAAAGCAAATAGGGAAAATATAATTGTTTAATCTGGTTGATAGGTATGGGGTACACTGTACACTTTTCTACTTTTCTATATGTTTGAAAATTTTTTGTAATAAAATTTTTTAAAGTATATGCTGTCTTTAAGAAGGCGGCAGCAGTACCCTTTCCTGCATAGGTAAATGACACATTACTCCCCTGAACCCAACTTTGCTGAAAAGAAAGGGAGCCTTACAAACATTATAGCAAAAATGGTAGCTCTCATTATGGAGGGTCCAGAATTGTCCAGCCTTCTTACTAAGTTTGGCTAAAAACCAAGTTTTGGTTGATTAAAATCACCTTTGGGTAAAACAGATTGCAATTCTTTAGAAGACTTCACAAATCCCTAAATACTTATTCATTTGGATCATTTTTGCCAGTTTGAACAGAAGCACAGGTCTGATGCCATCTATTCTTTAGAAGAAAATGAAGCATGGATTCAGACATAGGTCACCAACAGGGAGGGGACTGTAAATTAGAACAGTAACTTAATCCCAGGGGCTTCTGTACCTCTGATCAGTTTCCTCCCAGCCTGACACAGCATTACTAAAATGGCAACAGAGCAGCCGCTGGACTTGACAGGCAGCACCAAAAATGGAGAGCAGGGCACTGAAAAAGGGGGACATGAAACTTGGACAGGGAGGGTAGCAACCAGTGTTTACAAACATAAGCCAGAGAATCAGATGGGCCAGCCATAAATTACCCGAGATTGTAGTGAAATCTCTGAACATAAATGAACAAGGCCTTGGAAGTTCCCACCTTATATTCTAACTACCACACCACCACCATCACCACATCTTCCCTGCAAATATCACTCGTTGCAAAGTGGTACCACTACCAGTCTTGCTGAAATACAGTCTTAGATCACCAAGGGAGGGTCACTAAGATAAGTCTCAGAAGAAAAGCCTGACCAAAATGTCTGCTTGACCCACTCAAGAGACTGGGAGAAGGTGCTGGCCATGCCTTTTGAGGGATGCCCACCCCACCCTTCACTTCAGTCGTGCTATGGCATTAACCTCTGGTGTACCCCCACATGAAGGGCGTTCTAATCCTGACCCATTTCTTTCCCTTCTTTTTCATCTTGGTCCCAAGTTTAGGTCATTCCCCTAAAAGATACCAAAATAGCAAGATAATGATAAAGTAAGTTACAGACCCTTTTGCTCCTGAACAAAATTCCCAGATACTTGAAGAAAAAGCTCAAAAAACTACGAATAATCCAACCTCTACCACCAGAGTGTCTTCCAAGCCGACCTCAGCGATGTCTCACCAACCCGAAAATGATGAGCCCTCGCAGCGGCCGCCCAGGGCGCCCAGGGGTGAGGTCAGCAGCATGTCCCGCCCCGCCCTATTGAGGCAACCTCCTCTCTGACACCGAGGACAAGCCCAGACTGCTCAGTCTCAGCTGCATCCACTGGAAAGGAGAGAGGAACCCCACTTTCATCAGTAGCACCAGGAGATTCATTTCTCAGTTATTGGCAGGCCACCTGTATATGTGACATTGCCCACTGCAAAACAGAGGGTAGGATCTGCAACTCCTCCTAATCACCCTCAAGTTCAAGTCCAGGGTCATCTTACTTTGTGGTGTTTGATACCTTTCCTCAGATCACGTGGACACAAAAAGCCTGTTTCTTATCAAGAAAACCTACTCAACATGAGAAAAGAGACCAACATGGGTACTGCTGCCACCTTCTTAAAGACCAGGGTAGGATCTGCAACTCCTCCTAATCACCCTCAAGTTCAAGTCCAGGGTCATCTTACTTTGAGGTGTTTGATACCTTTCCTCAGATCACGCGGACACAAAAAGCCTGTTTCTTATCAAGAAAACCTACTCAACATGAGAAAAGAGACCAACATGGGTACTGCTGCCACCTTCTTAAAGACCGTTAGCTACCCTTCTCCTTGCTCCCCAAGACTGACTATAACAAATGGGAAATTTGTAGATGATATTTCTTCTTTCTGAAAAAGAAGAGACAAGCCAAGATCATGGTGAGAGAACAGTAGCAGAGTAAACCTACAGGGAATCACTCAAAGTTAACCAGACAAGAATACAGAAACAGTACAACACAGAGCTACCCAGAGGACATCCAAACATACTTGAGACCCCAAGAACATGCACCACGATCAACAACAAAAAAATGCCTGGGAGCTTCTGGAACTCTCTGCATACAATTCTATGATGTTCTCCTTCCCATCAGAGCCCACCTGCCCTAAGGAAAGACATATCTTTGTGGTAGTTGAGTCCAGTGAAAGCAAGCTTGAGAAGGAGCGTGGAGGGTGGGAAGCGGGCATTACATTGAAGGAGTTCAGAATGATATTTCCAAGTGCACTGCTTAACAAAAGGCAGAAAGCACCAGCAAAAAAACAAGAAGGAAAACAGCAAAGCTGTCCCATGAAGACAAAGTAACTAACTCGCCCATCCAAATGGTCAGTTGCAACTTAAATATGTGAAGTGTTCAAAGGAACCAAGCAACACCTTTGGTCAACACACTTCAAGAGACTGGCTAAAGATGTGACTCAGGAACTGTGTATCTTGGCTCAAAACATGAGAGGGAAAAGAAAGAAAATGACTATCTCTCACTAGGTGAAGGACGCCAAAGAGGAGTGATGCATGGTGCCCCAGAGGACAGAGAGGTGCAGCTGGGCTGGGCACAAGATGAGGACTCCCCTGTTAGGTTAGGCTGTACTGTATAGAAGGGCTCAGAGAAGAGTAGGTAATTAATTCCTGCTGGGGTGCAGCCCCACTAACCTTGGAGTTATTCTGCATTCAGTACACTGGGGCAGTGACCCACCACTCTACCTTGGGAGGAGCCATAATACCAACAGTGGTCAGGTCAGGCCAGAAAGAAAAATGGACTGGCAAATGTTTGATAAAAATGTTTCCGTCCCCTTGGAGCTCTGGCAGAGGAATGGATGTATTTGGTGAACTTACGTGCTCTATGGGGTCTTATAATAAGGATCTCTGTTGTTCTTGGAGGTCACTTTATAAACCGTATAAAAGCCAAGCTGATCAGAGGTGAGAAAGAAGAATTTCCCACAAAAATAACAGGTACCTGTAGGTTTCCTCGTAGTTCACCACAGTTGCTGCTTCCTCTGTTCCATCAGCATTGGTGAAGTCTGAGAGATAATAACTTCCCCACTAGTTATTGATTGAAATAGAGAGCTACCAAAACAAACATGACTTGAGATACCAGCTGGTGGTATAAAGCCCCTTTTTTAGGAAGATGAGAAAACAGTCTCAGAGATGTGAAATGACTTGCATAATGCAAATTAGAAGCCAAATCAAGGCTAGGGCCCAGCTCTTCTGGCTTCCAGTTCAATGCCGCTGGGTTTTCCTTACTATACCAACATAACAAAGAAAGGGCATGAAAGGTAAGACAAGAAGAAAGTCTATTTTGGTCTTTGGTAGCCAGGGTAAGGAGAATGCTGTCACTTCCAAGAGAAAACCCAAAATGAACCCAGCTAATTAGAACTGTGCTCAGGTGGGGAGCAGGGGCATTACCTTTCAACACCAGAGGTTCTTTGCCTTCTCTCTTCAGGGACTCCAGGACTATGTGAAGTGGCTGGGAGGGCATCACTCGGCTCGGCTCATTGGTATTCTCATCATAAACTATAATTTCTTTGGAAAAGATCCTCTTGAAAGAGTCCTTGCCTTCCCTACAGGAAATCAAGTCTAGGACAGTGACCTTGCCCTGCTGCAGTCTCCGCCGGCTGATCTTATCGGCACAGTTAATGTGGACAGCTCCTTGGATGTGACTCTTGTTGTACTCCATGAAGGGCCTGCAGTCAATGATGACAGGACCCTGGCTCGGCAGGTGACTCTTGCTGCACTTGGTCATCTTCTTCGCCAAGTCATTGGGGTAGATTATTTTGATGCTAGCTAGCTGCTTGGGGGTCCCTGACACAGGGCTGCCCACCACACCTGATGGACTTAAAGAGGCTGTACTCTCATTGTTGTTGACCATCTGGTTAGCAGGACAGGTGGTAGAGGTTCCGATGGCAGTGGTAGCAGTGCCAGCAGCAATGGCTTGGGTTTGGGACTGATTGTCCTTGTCGTAGGTGGCCACAGTGCAGCAGCTGGCACTGCTGCATCCACAATTCAGGGAGCGGGCAGAGCCGCTGGATGAGGGCATATACGTCAGATTCGCAGCCTTGAGGGATACAACGGTGGTGGCGATGACAGGAGTGTGGCTGTTACTGCCTGGGGTGGCAGAGCCAAGGTAGCTAGAGTCTAAACAAAGGTTGAGATCCTGAGGTCGAACAGGCCTAGACAGTGCCACTACTACCCTGTCGTCTAAAGGAGACGGAGGCATGAGGAGGCTGAAAACTGGCAATTCAAGAAGAACTCAAGACAGTCTGTAAGGAAGGGGAGGGGAGAGAAAGAATAAAGTCATGTGACACAAAAGGCAGTCTCATCCAATCCCGAGGAAAGACCTTTGCATGCCTCCGATCAAAGTTGCTCTAATGCCCTTTACATGCCACTGTCAAAGCTTGAAACTCATTTTTATGTATTCAAAGAGGATGCAAACCTGAGGGCCCCATCTATCTGGTTGCTAAGCCTAAGATCAAATTTAGACTTAGTGTTGTAAACATTTATGAACAACCTTTCACAGAACTACATCAAAGTTCAGCCTTAGAGAAGGTAAAAAGCACAAAGAATTAGAAAAGCTGAAGACAAACAAGGAAGGCTCTTAAGAGACATCTGTCTGGGCCTCATCTCCTGGGCAGAAGTGCAGTGCAACTGAGAAAGACCCATGTGTCCGCACTCACATGCCTTCCGCTTAATTCACCACCACAAAGGCAAAGCAATGACCAAGAGCATGGGCATGCTCACAGATATACACAGTTGCTAAATATACATCAGGGTCAATGTCAACTTTCTGCAAATCAGAATGAAAGTATCCCCCTAAGTGAATGTCTGTAACCAAGAGCTATTCTTGCTTTCCATTCTATTGAGTTTCTTTGAAAAGCACAACATGGTCATATTAAAACTCACATGTTTTCTCTTAGCCTCTTATAAATTAATCTGCATTTCCACTTTTCACTACAAACTGGGTGCCTTAAAGCAATGTCTCAAGCCAAGGAAACAGATCTGGAAACCCCTGTCCTGCCAGATTGATCAGCCATTGCTCCCCACTCCTGCCTTTAAGGAAAGGACCACTTGGCCACTTGGACTCCGCTCCCCCCCCAAATCCCCGCATCCCACTGACTGCTCCCCACTCCTGCCTTTAAGGAAAGGACCACTTGGCCACTTGGACTCCGCTCCCCCCCCCAAATCCCCGCACCCCACTGACTATGCATCCTAGAGCTTCTGACAATGGGAGGCAGCCGCTTTGTATAGGATTTCAATCCGGTACAGATTCTCCCCTTCAAGAGTATGGACTTCCCAATCAGCCTGTCGCTGTTGAAGGGGGCAGTGAAGCGCTGCCCACCGGGTCTACCTCCAGTCTTCTCAGAGGGCTCCTGCAAAGGGACAGTGCTTTCCTCTCCTTCCTCCCTGGAGGCACAGGGGCACTCTATAACCTAGCCCTACTGAGTCCTCTCCTTCTACTAGACATGCACATGGCAAAGAAACCAAACCTCAAGCAAGAGCCAAGAACCGCTCACCTAAACGAACTTTAAGTGTTGTCTGGAAAAATGTCATCTATCACCCGTCTACACACACACACGACCGTCACCATTCTCTGACACAGAGCCAAAGTGTCACGGGCGGAATGCACACGCGCGCGCACACATCGGGCATGCACCCATCACTCGGCAGGCACATCCCCACCGCCCCGGGTTTCTCTCACCCATCTTTGGATGGGAAAGAAGGATCTAACGCCCTCTTTTC